GTGCCACCGATGACCAGTTTGTTGAAGGCACACAGGTTTGCAAGTCTCTGACCGTTTTAGTCCCTTTATCCCAGTTCATGTCGTCCCATGATGTCTTCATATCCAGTGTTACCCATGCCAACTTTGGCATTTAGGTCTTCAAATAAAATCGTCCAATCATTTGGATCGGTCTTTAACGTCGTCATTGTAGTCATTGGTAGGTGCATAACATTGGATGACGTTCATTGTAATGTCCTCTTTCTTTGTTTTGAAGGATGCTTTAATGATCCTAGGTCCATGAGATTCCCATCCTATCAGTGCCTTTTGTGCATGTTTGGACAGCATCAGTGCAACTCCTTGTGTATGTGAAGCGTTTTCCTCTTCATGACCAGAGTATAACAGCAGTTCCCCTGAAGTTACTCTCAGTTGTCCTACTTGCGTCCAATGCGTTTCACTGATGCCGAGCACCTCGAGGTTGTATCTTCTCATTTCTGCCGCAACTTGAAATAGTCTTCCAGTATCCCACAATGTACGAACGTTCCATGTACCTAAAAGAATGGTTGCTCTGATTGTCAGAAGGGGCATCAGCCTCGTGACTTCCGAGAGAACTCGGCTTTTATCACGCGACGTCACAATTCTTCCTCCAACCCCCAGGGCAGAGTTAAAATGGTTTGAATTATTTTTTCTAGTTGGCGTTTTTTTGGCAAGTTAGTTTTAGTTGGGATGGGGTCGCCAACCGCATGTCCAACCCCTCTTTCTTTATTCGGGCTTAGGACCGTCAGTAGCCCCGAAGAGACTACAGTCGAAGTTGTCTTATTTTAATAAGATAATAATAATAATAAGATTTGTTCCCAAATAACATTGTGCTACACGAGGCATGCCAGATCAAATTATTACAAATGCTAACACACTTACTGTGAAAGCTTGCACAGGTAAATCAACCATAAGAGTTTTTTTCTTACAGCAACTTTACGTAGTCTCACTGATGGGAACATTTTGATACAGTCACTTTTTAAACAAGTGATTCGAAATGGGGTAGCGACAGTAAAGTTCTTCGGTGGTGTACATAATTCAGGAGTGGATTTGTCGAAAAGTATCGACTGGAAGGCGCTTTGTATAAGCTGTAACCTTGACGAGCGTGTACGTAAGATGCGTTTTGTGTTGTTCCACTACTGATAGGGTTTTGAGCAGGGACAAAGGAGAGGGGCATATTCGAAAAACTTTTCGATCTCGAAATAATAAAAAATAAATAGCTCTCTAACATGCGGAAGGAGATACAGACATACGAAGCAGTTTTTTATAAGCTGTGAGAACCTCTCAGATTTTCCAAAGCGCGTCATTTAAAGTCGCTTTTCGGGAACCAAATAAGTTTGGTCGTGGTCGTTACTTAGTGGAGATAGCACTGTGGTCATGGCTGGGTGTAGTTTGTTCGTGCTGGATGTAGAAATATTTATTACTCTCGCAGTGAGCTCTGAATCCAAAAGGTGTATGTTCACACGCGTCTCGCCCAGTCTAAGTCCAAAAATGATAAATCTGGGAAAGAAAGGTTCTATTTTTAATCGAAAAAGGAAACAGACAATCACCAAATCAATATTACACCGAGTTTCTAATCAAAACAGTACGTTCCGATACAAGAAGAATAAGTGCTTCCAGTTAGTTGCAACGAGCTGCTGTTATAGTATCAAATCCAAAATGGCTGTAGCCATACTAAGTATCAATTTTAAACAACCCATATATAGTTCAGAAGGAAACGTAGAAACTTCAATATAAGTACAATATATAGAAACCATAAATAGATACAAATGATAAAATCCCAAAATGGGATCAAATAAAGTACCAAAATATCGAACAGAAAGAGTCAGTGAGATCATAACACATATATACATACATGGAGGGAATTTCCAAAAACAAAGCCTTCAAAATAGATTCTACACTGGATAACTGGACATAGTAATTGTTTCCTTCTACGTTTGCAGCTCTCAACTGGTCAGTGATGCTGCCTTTACTCCCAATCATATTGTATTTAGGACTTCATAGAGACCTTTGAATGAAGCTTATGGTCATGACATACAACAGCACGGGTAATAAGTAATTAGGCTGGTTGAAAAAATACATCAGTTGATTGAGCAGAAATAAATTTAACTGGACAAATCGCGCTAATAAGCCTGCTTGTAAGGGAGTTAAAATGTACATTCGTTGAAAAAATGAAGCATTTACTTGTTCTCCTAGAAACCGAAGTGTCGTACCTTTGAAGCTAAATATGTTTTGGAAATTCGATTCTTTGGAAACTGTTCAAGCAACTGATACGAGACTAGTCTTATTCAGCCACATTGTTCGCTCCAGAAATTTGTTGAATATCTGATGTTAACTGCAAAATATTGTCAACTTATCGGAACTCTCTAGGGCAGCATGTCTGAAGATGTGCTTGGTGAAAAAGCTGAAGTTTTATGGGATGTGAAAAAAGAATGAATCATTGGTCTTCCATAGTGGGTTGAAAGTGTCGTTCCTTCATTGTAACGGTTTCTCATTTTCACGTAGCTGGTCGGCTAAGAGACATTCATTTCGATGAGAACAGTCTGTAGAGACTCATCGTTCATTGAAAATGCCTAGCTGCGAGACCGTTCGTCTCTGGGTTGTCCAGAATGATCGCCACTTTATTTTATAGCAAGCGAGCTTCTCGTGCGTTAATGGTATCCCCAAAATAATCGATGAATTTGGTTCCGATTTTCAGTTTCTTTACGTTTATGTTAATATGGTGTGTTTTGTAGTTTTGAGGAAAGAATGTCCGGATAGGGCAGATGAGATTATCTGACCAGCTTCTCATTAGACAGTACAGAAAATAACCGCGATTAATGCTCAGTTCTCTGAAAGCACCATAGATGAACTACGAAATGTTTGAGCAGTTGTTCTTTAAATAAAAGGCATGTACAAAAATTCATCAATTCCAAGAGGGATGGTGGTAGCTGTTCTAGTAGGACCTTCCACAGCTCCGGTATAGCTTCCAAACAGATTCAATTCCGGGTGAAGAGCAACAGTCGTGATTATTCTAGGTACGCGTGTTTCGCTTAGTCGGAATTTAAAACAAAATAGTAGAGTGCGGAACGATTCTACATAAGGTTATAGATAAATGTCATTGATAGTCACTGGTTAAATGCCAATACTTGCTGTAATTTTTAAGGACCATATGCAACAGAGATATCCATGGGGTGTTTGACGGCCGAATAATCCCTAGATCTACCATGTGGACGAATTTATGTTTGCCAAGTGTTAACGTTTAAGGTATCGGTCGTCGGGCTTTTGAGTATTCAGGTGATGCTGCTGGTGAGATGCAGTCACATTTAATGCACTTTTGTGTACCTGTCGAATATCAATTGAAAGAATTGGTCGATTATGTGTTTCACAGTGACTGAACATATCATACAATCAAAGAATGAAGCTTCACATACGGATACTTTAGAAGTACTATCTACTATACTCCATTCGCTATAGTCGACAAGTAGCTTATGGTGTTGTAGCAGGTCTGTAACAACGATTAGCATTGAAATACCTTCCACAATGGAAATCCTTTGAATGAGTTTGTTTTAACCCACGTTCGTATCGATATATTTTTTATCGTAAGTGGCATTTTGTTTTGAATCTGCTCCTTGGAGATTGAAAAAATTTTGTGCCCGATAGTTTGTGCTCGCTAGGAGATTTCTTAATTGTACGCCAGGGTCAACGAGATGGTGAACTTTTATTATCATGTCTGTGATTTATAAAGGATGGTTGATTTCACCATTTGAAGTTGTTGTTACCGCCTGTCAGTGGGAGAGTTTTCAGGAATGTTGGCTGTAACTGATGTTTTCGGAAAGGAGAGATTTCAGTACTTCGCCATTACATCTGTTACCCCTAGTTAAGCATGGGTAGATGATCAGCATTCTCCAACTTTCTCTGTCCTGTACATTCCCTTCTAGCTCTACGTCTCCGCTCTTTATTCCTTTCCAGTCTGCTTCGAATTCGTGGTGTAATGTGTTCTATGGTGAGTCACTTTTCCCTTGGTCTTTAGGATTTCAGTCTAGGACTTACCTGATGATGCAAATGGGTCTTATTCACATTCAGGGTTTTTTTGCAATTGCTTCCTCCTTGGTATGTCCCCCCCAACAGTAGATTGTTACTGATGGTGTCTGGCCAGCAGACTAGTGTTGATGAACACCTGTATCTTGTGGATGATGGATTTCGCGGTTCTCCAGGTTTCCACCCCGTACAGTAGAACTGTTTTTTTTCTGTATTGAAAATTGCAACTTTGGTGTTGTTTGATAGTTGTCTGAGTTGCAAGTGCTCTTCCATTGCAAAACTGCAGCCCTTGCTTAACTAATCAATGTCTGATCCACCTTCTTTGTCTACGATGCTGTTCAGGTTTGTGAAGGTTTCCATATCTTGGGGCAGAGTTTTGGAGGTTTGCGTTTTTACACATTTGAAATCATCAATCAATCATTGTTAGACCACCATTAGAAACCTGGAAGCACTGGATGGCCGTTTCGTCCTGGTATGGGACTCATCAGCCGTGTGCATCCACGACTCCTGCTCCTCACAGGATTCGAACCCGGGATCTTCGGCATGGTGGTGTCCAACGCCGTTTATTGACGACTGACTGCAGCCTCTAGTAAAATTAATCTTTATCATCTACTATGCGGTCAGTGGTGGGCGCAAGAAGGTGGTTGCGAGAAGGGACATCGACCATAATACGTCCAAAGAAACTCAGAATTTACCATAAGGCATCCTAAATCTCCTAAAAGAAGATGTTCCGACTGTCAGGACAGATTTTAAGTGGTTTGGGTTTTTTTTTCTGGTTAGCGATTTTCGCAGTTGTTAACCTTGTGGTTAACTCTTCTCCTTCATCTGGGCTTAGGACTGGCAGTAACCCAAGATAGTCTCGATATGTATAATTAAGTTCCTATCTGGAAGCATCAGTGATCGAGCACGAATAAATCAATTCGTTTTCACCAACTCCTGAAAATGATATTGGATATTGGATATATTGGATGGTGACGCTCGTAGTTTGACATTGTCGTTACAGTTTGTCAGTCTTGTCAACCCTGTTGAGACCGTACAGTTTTGTAAGTTTTCATATGCTAGATACTTATTGAGTTCCATAGGTCCTTCTATTCACTCCTTATCCTTATCAAAGTCAAGAGTTTACGCATCTGCACTGTCTTTGTGTGGAATTTCGTCACAGCTTTCACGTAAATCTTTCATTCCTTATTTCCGTAACTCTGGGGAAAATTCTCACTGTTTACTCTGTGCTGGAGAAGAAATTGAACGTCTGATGCATTTTTGCCCGTGCTTTCACTAATTTTACTGACAGACTTTCCCCGAAATCTCAAATTTCCTCTTTATTTCCCCTTCTCTGATTGCTTAGGAATCTCAGAGGCTCTGATTTTCTGCTAACGTCCACTTGATACTCATAGTTCTACATTGTCGTGTACGTTGTTATATGTCATATGAATGCTTCTCTCTTTAGTCATGTGAGCTTCAGTTGTCTCCTACATAGTCTTCCACTTCGTGTTTTTTCTCGGATACATCCTCTGCTGAAGCAGATTGTAGTACATCAAGCTTACCAACATTTGCTCCACGTCCTGTGGTTATGGTCACCTAATTGTTCTACGAATCAGTACTTTATAGTTGCACTTCGCACTAGATAAATCTGGATCATCATTCTCTTTTCCTCCATAATTATTAAAACCTTTTGTTTTTCACTCCAAATAAAGATGAAGTCTCTTTACCTTATATAAAATCTATCAGTCAAGTAAAAAAACATGCATGTGGTTAATTATTTAAGTTGTTTATTTCGGTCAATTCTATTCATATTATGACATCACTACCTGTTGTTTATCATAACCACTGGAGAATACATGCTGGCTCTTAATCTGCTCCAGTCAGGTGGAATTGTAAATGAAAGGTCTAATCGTGCTCCATTAGACATCTAACTGATTTTCACTGAGACTTAATATTTCCGTCTTCAGATTTAGTTTATAGATGACGTTTAATTAAATGTTTACTATGTTGGATTGTTCACTCATCCTTGGTATAATTGAGAGTTTGTCTGAGTTCAGACTTATGGCCTGAAAGTGCAAATCATCTTATCTAGTGGTAGCTAGCGGTAATGTGTTTCAGTGCTTTGGTCATCCTTCATGTATATGTCGTTCATTCTAATATCTTGGTTTAGTGTAGGGAGCGCAGCAACTTTGATGCATGATCATTCATATCATTTTCTATGTCAGGTTACTTGAGTACTAGTCAATGGCAGTACCAAAAAACACAGCGAACTATTAGTCGCTCATATTTTAATCTCTAGTTGTTTTCAGTAAGAGTGCGCCAATTACTGACTTGACTTAAGTGTGTACATATCTCTTTTGTCTTGAAAAATTAACACTTTGAATACTACCTATAAAAAGGCCGTGCGTGACCACCCTAAAGCAGTTGTGCCTTGGGCTCTGCGGTCACGAAACCAGGTCTCTAAGCCCAACTCTAATCCACCTTCCTTTTCAGGTTCCTCAAGAAACACCCTCCCACGATGTGGGCAGCCGAGAAGTTACATCCGCCCTCATACCCGTAACAACAGTCGAGTCATTAATTTGATTTCACCTTGTCAAAATAAAGAAGCAGCTCGATCTACCCTTCGTGTATCCGGTAGCCCTGATGCTGCTTCCTGTGGTCTCGCTGGTGTAGATATAGCATTGAGTCCTAGGACAGAACTATCTCTCCTTGACTGGATCCCAGTATATAGTCGCTTGTGTGCTGTCCGACTGGACGGGACAGTAAGGACTCGGAAAGACAGGGACACTCGTCGTTGCTTCTTCGTCATATCAGCCTACGCCCCCACTGACTGCAGTCCAGACGATGTAAAAGATGAGTTTTACAGAAAGCTTTCGGACTTCCTCCAAAAAGTTAGGCACTCTGATTTAGTAATAATAGCTGGTGACTTCAATGCTCAAGTAGGTTGACTAAGTGAAAATGAAAGACACCTGGGTGGATATTATGGTGTTGCGGCTCAGAGGACAGATAATGGCGACCGTCTGTTGCAACTGTGCTCAGATAACCGCCTTTTCCTAGCAAACACTAACTTTAAGCATAAGGAAAATTATCTTTTGACTTAGGGACCCCAGAGGTTGTCTCAACGTTGGACCCAATTATATCACATCACTATCATCCACCAATGTGGAGGTCCGATAGAAGACTGTCGCTCGTGCTAAAACACATGTTAAGATTCAGATCATGCTCTAGTGCGAGCGCGTATTTGTTTGCGACTTACTGGACATAGGAAAGCCACCGCAAGGAAACCTCTTAGGGTTCTACTTAATGATGCATAGCTAAGAATATATTCGAGGAACAACTAGAAAAAGTTAGGCGTCAGTGTAGGTGATTCCCATCCGGAGGCAGCTTGGAATGATATCTGAAAAGCCGTGGATCTCAACAGCATTCACCGAACTGGTAGACGCTCGTAAAATCATCCCGCCTGGCTCTGAGTACGATGAGGAGCGGAGTCGGCACAGGCTGATAAAAAGCCTACTCAATGATCGTGAACAATGGTGGGTATTGAAAGCGGGAGCGATGGAAAAGGCAGCGGCGATAGGTAACAGCAGACAGTTGTTCCGACTTATCAAGGAAATTGGTATTAGGAATCCGATTGTAAGTAAGACTATCTCGGAAGAGGATGGTCTTATTATTCATTCCCAATCCAGGAGATTGGATTAATGGGTAGAACACTTCAGGGATCAGTTCAACAGGCTTTCAGTTACACTTCGGTTGCCCACGATCTCCAGTCATCCTGAATAGGAAACCAACATATGTCCTCCGAATCTTTATGAAGTTGGGAAAGCGGTAGGAAATCTGAAACGAGAGAAAGCAGTGGATCCTGATAGATTGACCCCTGCGATTTTCAAAGATGGTGGTCCAGTTTTAGCAGCTAGATTGACTGAGATCTTGGGTAGAATCTGGGAACTGGCCGCAATACCATCTGACTGGTCTCAATGGCTGATTGTCCCAATTTATAAGAAAGGGCAAAAGTCTTCTTGTGACAATCACAGAGGAATAAGTCTAACTAATATAGTTTCTAAAATATTGGCCTCAATAATATTTCGACGCTTGACAAAAGCTCGTGAAGAGCAGACTAGAGAAAACCAGGCTGGTTTTCGACCTGGACATGGATGTATAGACCAGATATTCACACTACGATAGGTCCTAGAACACAGACACGCATATAAGCGTCCGACAATAGTTGTCTTCCTGGACCTTAAGGCGGCATTTGACTCAGTGGATCGTGAGGTTCTGACTGACTGTGCTAAGAGTTAATCTCTGTAATCATCGAGCCGCTGCATTAATCAAGTAATGTTAAATTAATTACCATGTTTGGTTCTTGTATGCTTATATCAGGTTGCTACCGTGGTATGGCAACTTGAACTGATGTACGTACGTACGAAGTTCTAAGTTGTAATTGACTGACTGATTTCAGAAACTCAGTATATCAACGTTACGGGATCGCGAAATTACTCTTGTGTCATTTAACATATAATGAAAGCCTTGAAATCCTCCACATTATTGTACTCTAACTATCGTGTTTTTCGTTTGCTTTTATTTCGTTGACAAGTAAATTATTTCTTTGTACTTATTGATAATGTCTGTTTCATGTCATTTTCATAACTATTTTTTTTGTACTTAAAGTATTTCAGAGTATGTCTGGTTCCACGGATTTTCGACTACAAACCTCGATATTATGTCACTCTTTTCTACTTGCCAGTACAAATAAACAAGATGCTGGTTACCTGACTGACTTAATGGATAGCACGGATACTGATCTTGCTTGTGTTCCCAATGGACAAGAAATTATTGAATCATTGCTTCAGTTAGTCAGAGATTTTAATCAACGTTTCACTCGAACAAATGAAATAGAACCAGTTGCTGAAAGTTTGGGTATTGATTCAGATAAACCGGTTGATAAGACGTCTTTGGAAATATTCTATCTTGAAATATTGAACGGGTTATTTGAAAAATTAAACTGGGGCCGTATTGTAGCCATGTTTGCATTTTTGCGTATATTGGTTTTACGATTATCCAAACATGGACACGGTGATGCGATAAAGATACTTATCAAAATAACAAGTCAGTATTCTGATGAGAAGTTGAAGAATTGGATTAATCTTCATGATGGTTGGGTACGTTTTTTACTTTTACTTGTCGTATCCATTGTTTCTTTCAATAAACAAAACTTCTTAGACTCAACTCTTTTTCCTCACATCAAGGTCAATAAAAGTTAACTGAGTAATCTTGTTGAGCATTCAATTAAACTAAATGCTCGATTGTGGATTTAGATCGGAAACTTATAAATTTTGTGGTTTGCAACTGAGTTTTCTCAATAGTTATATCGCAACAGCTAGTTGTTTTGTAACTGCATATGATGTGTTTGTCTAGCTCATCGACTGTGATCATTGTTAGTCATTCGTTATTTCGTTACACTCAATTTTACCTGAATGTGTAGCAGTCTTGAGCAAGCAACACACGCTTTTACAAAATACTATTTTATTTATAATTCCCATTTATAGAGCCGCAGTTGGTTTATATCTTAAGTGGGTCCCTTTCGAATTAGATCATCTTATGAATTATTGAATATTTATTTTAGTTTACTCTTTCTTGTCGTTAGGTGGTGCTAGTTAGATTATCCGAGTTTTTTAAACATTCACAGTAAATCATCAGTAAGTAGCTGCAGTAGCATTAGTAGTAGTGGATGATTAACTCATCTATTGGTTTACATTGGGGACCTTTAATTAACGAGTCTCGGGTTGCCGGTGCGTAAACGGATTGGCGAATGAATCGATAAGATTAAAATGTACATATACTATATAGGAAAATGAGTCATCGAAATATTTAAGAGGTTAGCATTAAGCGAATAGTATGAATTTTGCGTAGGCGGAAAGCAGTGTTCAGTCGTACCTGCTCATGAAAACAGACATAAGTAAAAGCCAATGATACATATAAGTTATTGCTATACAACTGACTCGGTTAAATAAATTAATCAAAAGGCTTAACCAAATTAAATATGAACGAACTCAAATGTATGTGGAGGTACTACAACCTTTAAACCACTAACATTGGATTAAATCTCGTTTTTTGTGACAAGTTTGATTGATAATCTCTTCCAGGTTGTTTAATTGTATTACTGACCGTATCCCCATGCTCATATATGATCAATGAATTTCCTCATATCGGATATGTATACACATGAATGTGTTTATCTTACCCCCCAGTCTCCTCATTTCACACCAAATGGCTCGTAAATTCTACAACACATTCCACGTTGAACATTGTTAAGAAGACTGGACAGTTTGTTCAGTATACAGTTAACTTTTAAACTCTATTTACATTCGATAATTTTAATGTCTGATCGTTTTTCTGAAGAAACCTGGACCAAACCATCGAAACATTGGAATTATCTCAATGTTAGTCATTGCCATTTTTTACGAATATAATTTCCATTTCAACATTCTATTTTGATATGTTTCGTTTTTATTTAATTTTAATGATAGTCTGGATTAATCGAATTCAGTGGTCATCAATTTGTCAATGATGGTCAGGAACTAATCTGGAAAACATTACGTAACGTCGGTGGGTTTGCCACTGGAGCTGTTGGAGCATTGGGTTTAGCTGCTCTTGTTGGTTATATTGCAAATAAGATTTAATTCTAAAGCATTATATTAGTAAAAATATTGATTGGGCTTTCGTTTATCAGTAAATATCACTAAGACCATCACTACTACTGTTAATCATCTTTTTTTTTAAATTACCATTCAAGAGGGCAATGAATGCCTTTTTTTTTCTGTGCATACATCTTCAACACATTGTTATGTGATTGGAAAATTTTTAAAACTTTTTTCTTTGTTTCTTTTTCGATGAGTTTATCATCATCATCAACAATAATAATAATAATTATTATTATTATTAATTGCTGTGCCTGACATTTCATCATTTTGTGTTCAATTTGTTTTTCATACGTTGAATCTTCATCATTTTACATTAATTGAAAATAATAATTACAGGCTTAATCAATTAGCATTTCATATAAAACAACACTGTAGATAGTTGAATATATAATAAACTAACCAATCTACTACTACCATTTTCATTAAACAAATACTGTTTTTTTGTTTCATTTTTATGTTTTTTTTTGTGTTTATAAGGAACAAAATCTATTTCCCTGTATTTAAATATCCCTATTTCCCTTGTTTCGTTTGTTTACATTATGTTGCTTTCTTTCTAAGTAACATATTTATCTAGTCTTCATTATCTCTAACATTATCGATATCGTTTTGTTAGTTGATTTTTTTTAGCGCCTGGTCTTTATTACCTATTTGATTTGGTGTGTGTGTGTGTGTTGAACTAGGTGTAATACATACATAATACTGAAGTTTTCTTAATGTATGTACAACAACTGCGAATACATACGATAGTGGTTTTTGTTATTATTTTGTTGTCTATATTCATTTATCTATTGAAATTCAGTTTTTTTGAGTTAAATTTGTTAGCTTATTTATTTTCAGGAGTATATCTGTTTCTAGAAATCGGCAGATATCATTTGTGCACAGTTGACGCTGGATATATATGATGGGTTATGTTATTGTATTTGTAGGGCTTTCTAAATTGTTTAACGTCCAAGTCTATTTCAATAGATTTGTAACTGAGGTGATTCTTAATAGGTGATGGTAAATAGATAGATAGTCATGTTTACATAAGATTAAACAATGATCTCTGAATGCTCGTCTAATATAAAAATATGGCATGTCATCCACAACCTAATAACTTGGGTTAAAACATTGCACTTGATTGTATACTGTGTTGAGTGGCCTAACATGATATTTAATTACCGCAGAGAGCTTGATTATTCAATTGGCTAGACGTATTTACTACGATTTACATATACCTTTACTTACTATGCAAGGAAATCTAAATACCTGAAAAGTGAATGATAGTAAATTTGCTTTGAAGTGTAACCTCTCTATTTAATTTAAGTCATTTTTGACTGTAATTTGATCAGCACAAAGGATGTGACAAAATGGCTTACATCTTGGCTTTAAGTTTGTACTGAATTATTAACGGCGTTATCCTTTCAATTAGTTTGATCTCATGAATATGAGTTCTGCTGATCGGTAAATTAAAAATGTTTAATTTTAACAGAAAATTATTTTATTTACTGATGGTGTTGATAATTGTATTATTAACCAAACAAGCAATAGGTTCTGGTATTACAAAGCTTTTTTTATTTCGGCTTTATTCAGTACTAAAATTTATTGGTCTATCTACCCTTTATGTAACGGTTGTGGAAGTATCTTAAACTCTCTGAGATAGACGTTTTGTCAAATTCCCGTTTGTATTAAACTGAATAGGAACGGTAGAGATAGTGCTTTGTTTATATAGATTTTCTGTAGATGTAATCTACGATAAACAAGCATGTTCGGGAAATTTAATTAGTCCCATCTTCGCACTTGAGGTTAATACGATTTTTTTTATCAATAATCGGTTTATTAACAATATGAAAATGGGATCCAGGAGAGTTATGTTCTAACTTATTCAAAATTGATTTGAACGCCGTCATGATTTCGTTATCAAGATTCCAATCGTTTTGAATAGTAACTAGTTTCTCTTAGGCTTCTCAACAATTTACCATTCTAAAATATACACTTAGGGTGAATAAAGAAAATAAGTTATACAAATGATGTTTAGTACTTTCCAACATCATTCAGGGTTTCCTCATTTCTTATTTTAACCAAATCAAATTACTTATTTAAAAATTCTTATCGATCATAACTGAATTAGTTTCAAATTTAAATCAATATTTGTCATCGATAAAATTGATCGATTTTGAATGTTTCGACAAACCAACATAAGTCAAAGTGCATAACATTACTTACTGATCACTCACGATTTGGTGATATTAAATATCAAGATCGAGTCTGGGAATCAGCTAATAAAAGATTAAATTAGTTTACATGAAAATGGGCGTCTGGAATACATTAATCATGAGAAGCTATTCTTTCGGCACGGGTCCAGTTTCCTCGACTGAATTGGATGTCTCAGTCAGTATGCTACAGCATAAAACTTCGAACGTACATACATCAGTTCAAAACGCCATACCACATTAGCACACACATAATAGTCGAGGTATTGAAAGGTTTGGAGAAATCATTCACGAAGTATAATAAATAAATTTAAAAAGATAAGGAAAGGTGCCGAGCCCATGAGGTCGTGAGAGAAGACAAAGAATGGGTGCACCTGCGCCATTGCAAAGGATTCTGAGCCATGTCGCTCAAGGTCTCTAATCATTGGTGACTTTCGTTTCGTGGACCCCAACCAGGTAGCCTACATCTACCAACATGACTCAGTCCACTTGTCAGTGACTTCGTGGATTTGTGCCATGTTCTGGTGTGGCCGCCCCTAGTCTTCTTCCAGTCTACTACATCACGAAACATTGCTCGTCGAGGCAGTCAGTGGTTGGGCGTACGTAGCATATATATAAACCACCTCAATTGATGATGCATAACTTCATTAATCGATCCGATATCCTTCCCTAGTGCTCTTTTCCTAACACCAGCAGTGGCTAATCGGTGGTCCTAGATTATTCGAGCAATGCTGCGAAGACACCTATGATCGAATACTAGTAGTCTACGAATATGCTTTACGCTTAGTAGCCGTGTTCCACACACGTATACTAGGACGGAGCGAACTGATTTGCAGTAGACTCGTCCTTTGATTAGCAGATGGATATCACGCCTAAGCCATAAGTGGTGCAAGTTGGCAAAAGCTAGTCGAACCTTCTGTATCCGCAAATAGGTTCCATCACACCAGGTCATCAGCACTGGTAAGACTCCCGAGATAAATGAAGCGGTCGAAACGCTCAACCACTTCACTCTATCACTAGTTCAGGTGCAGATGCAATCCAATCTTGAAGCGACATTTTGCATTTCGAGGGGGAGAATAGCATCTGAAACAAGCCTGCACTGTTGCTTAGGGTAGTCATAAGGCCTTGCATTTTGTCAGTGTCTTCACCGAATAGAACTGTCCGGCATATTCTAGGTTAACAAGTGGATCTCCCCGTAAAATTTCAACTCCTGGAAAGTTAAATGATAAGGGTGTTGTCTCTAAAAGCATGTTAGTAGAGAGCCTGTAAAAGAGTAATGTACTTCTTCGGCACACCTTACAATGACAGACACTGCCATAGAGCCTCATGATGGATAGAGTCAAATGCCGCCTTAAGGTCCAAGAATACGACTATTTTCGGATATCTAAATGCGTGTCTGTGTTCTATGACCTGACTTAGTGTGAATATCTGGTGTATACAACTACGTCCAGGTCTGAAACCAGATTCGTTTTCTTGAAATATTGTTAGGCGTCGAATTATTAATGAGGTTAATATTTGGATACTATATTAGTTAAACTGATTCCTCCATGATTGTCTCAAGAGGACTTTTGTCCTTTCTTATAGATTGGGACAACAAGGGATTGAGACCAGTCAGATGATACTACGCTCAGTTCCCAGATTCTACCTAAGATCTTAGTCAATCTAACTGTTAAAACTGGACCACTATCCTTAAAAATCTCAAGGATTCACCTGTCAGGGCCCGCTGCTCTCCCTCGCTGATTTTTTCTAGGTTTTTCAACCGGATTATGAGTTGTAGGAGTTACATCAAACTTCTCTTCAGGTTGACTGGAGATCGTGGATAACCAAAGTGTGAACGAAAGTCTGCTGAAGTGATCCCTGAAGCGTCCTGCCCATAGATCCAATCTCCTGGAATGAGAATGAATAATAGTCACATCCTTTTTCGAGATAGTCTCACTAGCAGTCGGTTCTATAATACTGGTTGCCCTGATAAGTCCAAATAGTTGTCTACTATTGCTGCTGCCTTTTTCATCTCTTTTGCTTTCACTACTCACCACCGTTTGCGATCATTGCGCATGATTCTTATCAGCCTGTTCTTAAACTGGCTCCGCTTTTCGTCATGTTCAGAGATACATGAGATGAGTTTTCGAGGATCCATCAGTTCTGTAGATGCTAGTGATATTCACAGCTACCTCCTAACCTTATAGTTTATCTTACTGGGAGATGTCACTGCCGATTCCACAGCTTTCTGGATAACATTCCAAGCTGCCTCTAGGTGAGCATCACTTACATGGCTGCATAACTGTTTTTCTAGTTGCCCCTGAAATATTATACTCTTGGTTTTACTGTCTTTAAGTAAAACTGAGGGGTTTTCCTTACTGTCTTTCTTATATCCAGAACGCGGTTAACAAACTCGTGCTCGTACTAAATATGAATATAAACATGTGCTCCAGAATGAGTGGTAGTCTTCAATAGAGCCTCTCCATCGGTGGCTGTTTGCAATGTGATCTCGTTGCGTGGATTTTTTGGATCTCCATGTCAAGAGAAATAGGCGGTTATCTGAGCATAGCTACAGCAGACGATCGATATTAATCTGTTCTTTGAGCCACGACACAATTAGATCCAGCCAGGTGTCTTTCCTTTCCGCTTAGTCTACCTACTTGAGCATTCATTCAAGTTAAGTTGATTGTGTAGAGATTAATGAAACTATTCATTTGTCTAAACTGAATTAAGTCGAACAAAGTTCAACAATCTAATCCAATCATTAAAACAATGAAGTGAACAAATTACCTAATCTATCAATCCGTCCATCATTTTTATTGAAAGAAAAAAAAGATTATCATCATTTTGTAATACAATTCGTTTGTTATCATGATTATGTTAACTTGTACAATGTGAAGATACTTTGAATATTGAACAAATGAAATAATAAAATGTATATTTGTGCAGTACATATAAAGCATGAATAAATGCAGTAAATTAATATATATATATATTATTGAAACTGAATTAATCAATGTCATGTCGTCTATATATTACATCAATTGTCATTATCTCTGTTTTCAATTTTATAAAATAATCATAATTTAAATAATACATTATTCACAAAGCAGAAAATAATGATTATCCATATATATATATGTATAATTTTCATATTTTTCAGTAATGTTCTCCAAAAATCGAAAATACCTCCATGTATAAATATACAACAATAAAAACAAAGTAATGATCCAATGAACATTATGTATATTTTTTTATTATATCAATAGAAAATAACAAAGAAATTCAATAAAATTCAATAAACAGTAAATAAGCAGTAAATAATGAATGTTATGATGTTATGCTGTAGTAATTGAATTGTCAAACCTAAGTCTTTCTCGATACATTGCATTTTATGTGCAATGCTCTCGATAAGCATTTAAAAAGTATAAATAAATATGTGAAATGATTGAATTAGATCAATGTAATTAATTATATAAACAGAAATTAAGATTTTACAAAAATTAAAAACTATTATAAAAGATTGTTAATTGGTAATTATTGATGAGAGTAAATAGAAACACAATGATCAGTACTATGAGTATACACCAGGAAGAAATTTATATTGTGTATTGTTTGAGATAACTGCCATAGAGGTAGTTAAAATATCAATCAGTAGTAGTTTTACAAGTTATAGTAACAATAATAATTATTATTATTATGATTATTAATGAATAAAGTGGATTAATTTGTCCTATTTGGTCAGTTTATCTGTTGTTTATCATATTGTAAATATTTATGTGGTTGTTTAGTTGTCTTAAAATCCCTAATTCATAAATGAACTTTTATGATGAAATTTCAAACACACTTTATCCTTTGAGGTAATTTAAACGAAATATGCACATATTGTTTTGTGTAGTAGTAATAATAATAATAATATATCACTAATGATTAAAGTATGATTAATCATAGATGTACAAATGTGTAAGGCTGATATTGGTAAATATAAATTTTCTGTTTACGAATATTTTCACCTCTATTAGATTGACACAGATAAATTCTGTCAACAAAATGAGGAAGACTATTGAAAAATGTATCGTTTTTTTTAATTAGCTTGTGAATAAGTTGTATGGTCCCTGTGAATTGTTTGCAGAAGAAATATATATAAGGCATATGTTATCGGCTACGTGGAACAGATCCATTCAATGAACTACTAGTAACAGAATTAGCAGTATTTCCTATTGAATCACAAGGACTACGAACTTCTGATTTGAGACGGACAAATTCACGAGCTATCTCATCTTGAGGACGTTGTGATAATATACGAAGTATTGTCCATCCGGTATCATCAAGATGTAATCTTTTTCCCAGGCTACAAATACATGCACATGCACCACTTTGACCACCAGCAGTTCCACCACCTCTTGGATTAAGTGTAGGTGAAACATTTAAATCACTTGTTGTTGCTAAATCACGTAGTTGTAATACAGTCAAACCAATCAATCGATCTGTTCGACCGAAACAATAATCTTTTGCGCATATATGCAATTCATAAGATTCCGGGTCGGAACCAGCACTGAGAAAACTAGAATTTTGACAAGAAAAACATGCAAAAAAATCATAATGCTAAAACATTCAGTAAAGAAATAAAAATGATCTTAGTTATGTTACCTTTGAAAATCTAGAGCCACTGGACAGTCATTCTGTCCTAGAATAGGTAGGGTTCTTTAGTAATGCGGATTAACGACTCCGCCAACTTATAGGGTGTAAGACAGTTAGTTATCTCCCCGACGCGAAGTAATACAGTGGCACACTTTTAAAATATCTGCACATACAATTTTATATAGTTGATTAAAGCCTGTTTTACATATATAATTATCAAATGAAATCAGACATATACAAATAGAAGAAAAATTTAGCATTTTCACTATGCAGTTGCTTTTCAATACATACAGTACTGGCAGTCAAAATGGAATATTTTGAGGATACTTTAGTATAGGCATGAAATAACTACATTATAAATAGGATTTGAACTATTATTATACTAGACAGGTCAGTAACGTTTGTGATTTCAGTATTAGTTTCAATGATTCTCTATCAACCTTCATTTTTATCATCATTTTTCTAAGTGCTGCATCTTCGATAGATTATTTAATGTTCTATTAAACATTCCGATGAACAAGATATCAAAAAGTATTGAAAACGATAATGTCTTAGTCGTTGTTCGCATATAAATTCTTTGTGTAAATTGCTCCTTAACACTATATCACATGACCAAACCTAACTAGTCTCATATCTAGCTATTTGATGCTTCTTGATTGTTAATGATGCTCTGACTAAGATCAGTCTGTCAGTGAACCTATGAATATTTCATTACTCATTCATCAAGAACAGTCTTCTCTTTAATCCAATCACAATAATTCAGAATAAGTTAAAATGAGTCAATAAGAAAATCCTAAAGAAACACTAATTTGCTTTCCAAAAAAACCCTGAAAGCTTCATTTAAAAAAAAATGATTTCATTCAAATAAGAACCATATATTCATGGTTTTGAATAAACATACAATGTAAATGTTTCATTGAATACGGGAGACCAAACATTATTTTTTGATTTTGTTGCAAATTTATGCTTTTTATCACTTAATAATGGACCAAACAATACTATTTCAATAAAAGGTTTAAATGTTCCAGATGTTGTCCATTTCAAATTATTTGCTGCAATCACTGAATAGAGAAAAATAAGAGAAAACATAAAATGATGGATTGTTTTCAAAAGAAAATATTCTCCAATTTAAACATGAAATATTCAAAGTTAATTGTTTCAGAGATCAACAAAAATCCATCATAATTAAATTTTACGAAATGGGATTTATGATGATTGTTGTATTTCATAGATGCCAGCTCAGTCTTCTAAAGATTAAGTGTACACTTTGAGAGCTGAGGGTCCCAGGTTTGATTTCGAACTCTTAGTTTTTGAGTATTATTAACGGTATTGCGATAAATAATTATAGCTAGAGTTGTGAGTTCACCAGTGATTCTTTGTCTCCCAAAATAAATTTTTATGTATACAGCTTATGATATCAGACAATGTGTGAAGAGTGACGTATATATCAATTATGATATTAATTAACCATCATATTTCAATACGAATTATTAACTTTGGAAATATGAAAGGCTGAATTCATTGTGGCTCAATGGTATCATGGCCAATGTAAAATCTGAAGGTTTCGGGTCTGTTCCGAGATGGATTATAAGATCATGTTGCTAGAGTGTCCTAAACAAGATGTAACAACTTTTTAATGCCCTCTAGTTTTTAATAGTCCTCCTGAGGAACTCATTCCTTGAAACACCTAAATTCAGACAGAACAGTTTCCACAAATTTCCGAACTCAAGGTGCTATCGAAAGTAATCCATTTTCAATATTATCGATATGCTGTTATGTTTGCTGGTTTTCAGTAATCACCCGTATATCAGAAATCCGAAGTTACACGATCTCGAATTCAATAGTTTAGGTTTCACGGAGATTTTGAAACCGTTTATTCACGAATTAAAAATCCATTGTCCTAAATTTTCCTCTCTAGTCAATATACAATTCAACGCGGCCTACATTCAAGTCGAAAATGATAAGGGCTAGTTGTCAACCATAAGATAAAACGTCTCTATTCAATACTTCTTATTTTACTACGGGCTCTTGTTCAAGTTTGTGATAAAAATTATCTTTAAAGTCCGCAGTATCCAAAAAAATGTAAAATATTTAGATATTACAAAAATTTTGAAATGCTGGAACCATATTATACCAATAAGTACAAACTGCGCTATGAATAGTAACATCAATATAGGACATTGAACATTATAACAACGTGTGTTTTACAACTTCTCTGTCTTGTCATCTAAAACCATTGAATAAATATGACTCATGCATGTATAATTAAGAGTTTTCTAGAGCTTTGTCTGTCTGAGATAACATTATGTTGTATGCACAATGACCTTGAAAATGTACTTCACTAAGATGGTCGGTAAAGTGATAAAGACAAAACAATATGGATATTATTTTATAAAATTAAGGCTTTTTTTGAGAACGAATGTTCAATATACCGATAGTCACGTAATGTTGACTTGTCATTAATGTATCATACTGGACGACATTTTTATATGGACTATATGTCTGGCACTAATAATATTTCTACAATGTGTGAATTTAATCTAACCATTTAAAAATAGATTTAAGTTAGGAATTATCGATCGCCTATTCTTCATATCTCATCACCCACAAGTTTCAAATCTATCAAAATTGTAATCAATGAAAATAATATTTAAACTCAATGAAATTTAAATAGCATGGTAAAATAGGTTAGGGCTTTTGAAATGTAAATCTTGTGGTTTATACTGCCATTGATAACAACTGTTGTGTTTTATTTGAATTTTCAAATGTGCACCATTTGATACTACTTGATATCAATGCTATGGAGAATTAGACTGGAGTTTAGTTTATTTCCAATATGAAAAACTTTTGATTAAAATTTATTAATTTAAGTATTATTATAATAGTTTGTCATTATTGTTATAATAGACTGAATGATTGGATTTTATGATCCCTTCCCTTCATTTAATATTGAATGATTGAAATGAAGTAATGTGTTGCTTGCAAATTATTAGTTTTGTTTTATATTTGGTTTAAAAAAATTAATTGCACAAGATATATAGAACAAATAACTGAAGAGAATAGAGTTTGCTGAGATGATAAATAATTGAATTATGACTGTTAAAGTTTTAATTATTGAAAAATAATCAAGAGACAGGACTGTAGATCACAACTATGATGGTCAAGTTAATCATTTTTTACAGTTGTGCATTAATAATTCATGTTATTTCACATGTTATAAATTCAGTTTATTTAAAATGGATTCCAAAGTTTGATTGATTAGAATATGGAAAAAAAATTAGAAATAATTAGATACAAGATTGTACTGATTATGTAGTTTTGCATCATAATCTCAGAATGTGATTTACATCACTAGAAACTTTGAACAACTAATTCACTAAGCTACAATCACTACTAGTTTACTTAATGAATATGATATTTTTATTGCCTGTAAAGAGTTTGGTGATCTTATTTCATGTACTGATAAATATTCATAGTACTTAGTGAGGAATTTTGTTTATCTATGTATAAAATAGTTGAGAATATTTCTACTACTACTTATTTTAAACTATACATTGGTTAGGTGAAACGCATTGTTCTGTAAACCTTCATAATCTGTTGTGTTTGAATCTTTAGATGCTACAAAGTATTTCTGGATAATAGCAACTTATAGTCAGATCTAGTTGAAAAATTCCTTCAACTACTGTCCGGATATTTTATTGTTATTGATATTCAGAACAAAATTGTCACGAATTCCACCAAAAGAAAGACGATCATCTAATTACAGTCCATATCGAGGACTTCATTCAAGGAACTTATATTTCAACACACCCAACCGAAGCTGCTACCTTGACGTGGTGGTCGGGCTTGACTATCGTGATGACCCAACCGAGCTATATTGGCTGGAACTTATGTTCCTGAAGGTTCTACCATGCCAGGCAGGTCGATTGGAGAGCGATGAGACTAAAAGCAGCTACTCAAGGTCTGAGGGCGAAGTCGTACTGCTGACTGCAGAGGGGTGTGACAGCAGTAAGGTGTTTCCCTCGGACAACCATCATCTGCAGCGATGCTGCCTTCTCACAAGGAAGGAAGGGTTAGAAAAGGTCGGCCCTAAAAATGTCACACCTCCCCTAACTCACGGATTTCCGTCTCCTTGGGTAAGGGTGTCCACTAAGGGCCTTTAAGAGCAGAGCTAATCCTCAAAAAACCTTTCATAAAAAGGCCGTGCGTGACCGTCCTCAAGCAGTTGTCCCTTGGGCTCTGCGGTCGCACACCCAGGTCTCCAAGACCAACACTAATCTATCTTCGTTTTCAGGTCCCTCAAGAAACAACGTTCCACGGTGTGGGCAGCCGGGAAGTAACAACCACCGTCATACCCATAACAGCACACGAGACCGAATTGGTCAAAATCAAATCCTATTTTTCAACACAATAGTGTAATAGAAACCATTCAAACTAGTGATACAACAATCACTTTTTAAGTAAATAAAGAGTTGATGCGTGTTAGTTTACTTTAAGTGGGATAGAATTTATACTTTTTGAAAAAGCAGCTAATTACTGCTTAGAATTCTTCATAGTGTTGTTCTCAAGATGTTTATGTAATCGATAACAAAGCATTATTACAGTCTACTGCATTGTAAATTGAACAGTTGAAGAAAATCCGTTTGTAGCATAACTTGGTGAATATCAACCGAAACTATTTCTATTCATTATAAAATAACTGAACAATGGAAAATACACAGGCATTGGCTTTAGTTTACTGATAAAATTAAACAAATCAGTCATTAACTTCGAAATAGCGTAAGTAGACTTTTTGATCTATTTTTATATCTTACAAAATTACAAATCTACTTTTGATGTTCATAAACATTAAAAAAAAACCGCTTCATTAGTCTGTCAAAATAAAGAACTAGTGTTTATGAGAAATGGTCTTTTAGTTGTTGGATGCCAACCATATGATTCACCTTGACTACTTTGGTTTGTTTTTTCACATAAACTGGGAAATGTTAAAATTAGACAGTGGATAAACAGACAGACATGTATATATTAGATGGATAGACAGACAGATACAGATAGAGAAATTTCAATGGAAATAAATTTTAGTTATTTGTTTTTATTCATAGAAAGTCTGTTAATCTTTTGTCTCAAAAAAAAAATCGTTTAACGAATACAAACATAGATATTTTCAGTGTGTCCCAATTCTTATGATAATCTGAGTTTTTTTTTTAATGTATATCTGAAGTCAACTGTTTATGAGTTTTAATTTATGCATCTTTTAGCTAGAATAATAAGTTATATTATTTGAAGAGGTTTGTGTTAAACTGTACACAGTTTACAAAATTAAATTAAACCATTTTCTGTCTGTTCAAATGAGATAAGGTCTTGAAGACAAGTCACTCTCTAAGAGTGTCTTCAAAAAGTAAGTACCAATGTGAATCTAAGATAAACAGTTTGAGTGATTTTTGTAACATCTTAGAAATAAAGTAGTAATGTGCTAACGTACGTAAAATTTTAAAAAAAATTGTGTACAAATCTTTTTATCCAGCTAGTATTAGATTTAATAAATGACAAAAAACTGAAATAGTTAAATTTTTTATAGAGAATCAATGAAGTGTGATTAATACATGTTTTGCCCTATTTAGGAGTTAT